CGGAGGGGGGCGTTCGTGAGGGCTCCTCGAGCTGAAGGGATCCCCCGAATTTGGTGGAGATCCACCGGCGCGTTTGCAAGATAGTGACACCAGCCAACACTTTCACTTCAGTAAGGAGGTCTCTTGTTCAGGCAGCAGCAAGCGTGGTCTTATTCGACCGTAAATGCCCCGTGAAGTGGACTTCACATGAAATTCTGCCATGATTCCAGTTCCAAGGGAACGTACACGTTACATTCAAAGGACATTAAAGTGCGCCAGACGTGAATTTATATTTATTTACAGAGGTAAATTGTCACACTTCATACTTCTCTAGTAAGTTTAGTCTGTGTGTGAAGACAGTAGCGCAAATCCGTGAACGAATGTTCCAAAGTGAAATAAAGTTGAATGGAATTGAATAAACTTCAACTTTACTGTTCAGTGCACTGTTGTCAGACTCATTTTGGATAATAAAGTTTATTGTTAAATTGTTAAATGCCCTGCCTCCATTACATATCTTTGTGACGTCATTATAAGTGTTCGATCACCACATTTGAGTGATCATTGCAAAAAATGTGTTCATGTATATACTGTATTCTATATATAGTACCAGTCAAATGTTTGGACACACGAATGGGAAAGTGTCCAAACTTTTGACTGGTACTGTACTATAATATACACAAAGAATATCGGCCTTTTTTTACTCCCTAATATCGGTATCAGCTCCAAAAAACCCATATCGGTCGGGCTCTACTCTGAAAGCGCTCCTCAAGGAGTGTGATTATATTACTGGATGCTCGAAATTGAATGGGAGAATGCACGTTTTAAACCGCTTATTGTACAGGTAATTTAATCGGCGTTCTAATCTAATGGGCTGCTGCACTGTAAAGCCCCGTTCACACCAAGAACGATAACTATAAAGATAACGATATTTGCATCCACACTAGTGAATGATATCGTCTGTTTATTCTAAGCACACTCTCGTCTGCCGGTTTCTTGAGCTCATTACAGCAGGATGGATTCTGATCGGCTGTCAAATTTTTTTCGATCATCAGCTGGAGAAAAATAGATTGAAATTGTTTCTCTTTGTCTTTATCGTTATAGTTGTGGTGTGGACTCTGCTATTCTTTAATATTGAGAACGATTTTTAGAACTATATCTTTATCATTATCGTGCTTGGAGTGAACGGGCCTTAACGCACACACATAGGCTACAGACAGTAGCTCGTACATCACGCGCAGATCGTGAGCACACAGAATCATGTGTGGAGTTCAACTCGACTTCCATCACATAAAAGTCTTTTAAAAAAAAAAATCAGAAGTGGTTCAACCCCTAATAGATAGTGACAGCACAGATGGAGAGAGCAACGGAGGGAAAAAAGAAAGAGAATGAGGAAATGACACTGGAGAGTGTAGTGAGAGGAATTTGAAATGGAAGCAGGGTACAGTGATCAATGTGTTAATGACTCAAAAGATGTACAGGAATTTTTATGTATAATGAGTGGTAATTAGTGAAGAATGGATAAATGGCAGCAGTAGTACACATGTTTACATGCACTGTTTTTTTTGTTGTATTTTTAAGATTCCGGTGATGACACTGAGGATGATACAGTTGGAGGAAGAAAGAGAAAGAATGACCGCAGTTGGAAGAAGCATGTTAATAAAAGGCGAAGAATGATGGGACAACCGTATGTTGGGATTAGAGGGAACGAAGAAGTTGACATGGAGCCCCGGGCGATGGGACCAAGCTGTCAGTCTGCTGGATGCGTAAAGTCCTCCAAGCATCACTGCAGTACAATTGGAGAAGCAGACAGAGAGAACATTTTTAAATGTTTTTGGGAGAACATGAACTGGGAGGAGAAAAAAATGTATGTGCGTGGTTTGGTGGATGTCATCCCTGTAAAGAGAAGAAGGGGGTGTAATAATTCAAGAAGGTTATCTACTCTTATTTACTTTTTAAAAGTTGATGGACAGAGAAGAAGGGTGTGTAAAAGTTTCTTTTTGTCAACTCTTGGATTAGGGCAATGGTCTGCTCTTAACTGGGTGCAAGAGGCAGGAAATACACAGCAGAATGCAACATCACACCTCAGACATGAGGATCGTGAGTTCATGAAGAGTTTTCTGCAGGAACTCCCTAAGATGACTTCCTGCTACTGTAGGTCATCAGCATCAAAACAGTTCCTAGAGCCTGGCTTTCAGTCCATGACTGGCCTGTATAAAGTCTACCATCGTGCTGCTGAGGAAAAGATGCTGAGGCCCTTTTCAAGACAGGTGTTCTCAGAAGAATTTAAGCAGCAGAACCTGAGTCTTAACCATCCAAAGAAGGACCAGTGTAATACATGCTGTTCCATCAAGACTGGTAACTTGCCAGATAATGAGTGGCAGGTCCACTTTCTTAAAGAGGAAGAGGCCTGTGTGGTAAACGTGCAGGACAAAAATGACACCAGTGTCAAGACTGAAATTAAAAGTGAATGGTGAAAAAGGATTCTGCTTGGTCTTAAAGACCAAGTTCTCAAATCAAAAAACAGTTTGTCCAAAAAGAATGATTTATTTCTCAATTTAGATGTTGCTATCAGTGTGGTCTAGGTGGTCATACAGCATACGCCTGTGTCGAGACAAACTACTTTCCGTTTGGCTTTCATATGGAATGCTTTTTTTATGAACATACGGGACAATTTTGTATTATATGGAACGGTTGACAACCCTAGTGAGTTCTAACATTTTGTAATCGATATGTAACTTAGGTTGCCAGTGTAAAGATGATAAAATTAAGGTGAAATGATCATATATTCTCAACCTGACAAGAACTCTAGAAGCTGCATTTTGGACTTAGCGTAGTTTGTGTATTGAAGATGCAGGACAACCACCTAGCAGTGCATTAACAATAGTCCAGTCTACAGGTCATGAACACAAGAACTAGCTTTTCTGCTTCAAAAAATAGAAACATTTCCAAGATGCAGAACGTTATCTTAAAGGGATAGTTCATCTAAAAATTAAGCAGATAAACATCACATTTTCATTTTTGGGTGAACTATCCCTTTACGGTGGAAGAAGGCTGTTTTTATAATATGTGACAGACATTACAGTACATCCTTCTAGATGCAAATTGTTTTCTAAAAGCTTCTATGTATAGGGTTTTGGCCAGTAAGTAATCTCTTTTTTTTTTCTTATCTCAATGTAATGTAAGAAAATTATTGGTTATCCGATTTTTTGTATCTGTAACACATTGTTCATTTACATCATTTAGAAATTAATCTGGTCTCGATGGAAATATATAACTGAGTATTATCAGCATTAAAATGGGAACCTTAAAACTAGCAATATAAGAAGCATTCCAATTGTATTTGTTATAGAATACTATCTGTAGGGTTTCCGGTTATTTTTTTTTATTTTATTTATTTTTTTTACTTTTTATTAGTTTTTCTGTTGTAAAAAGGGGGTGGTGTGAATAATAGTTTGGGAAAATTAATGATTAATAAACATACTGCAAAATGTGGCTAGTTTATTTATTTTTTCTTTAACCATTCCAACCCAAGTCTACCCATTACACAAAGTGAGGTATGGTGGAATGCAATCAAGTCACAAAGACTGTAATTATATAAATAAAAAGTATGATGCACTGCATGATTCAGAGTGGTGTGTTACTGTGTTCATTTACACATAAGTTGTTCCACATGTAAATGATCCAGTGTTTTCAGTGTCTCAGAGTGCCTTGTTGGCAGTAAATACTGCAGCACACAAACTCCAACTCTGAATGTGCTGTGAGTTTGAGATGTTTATAACATGCATTTGAAAACAAAACATTTCTACCCCGCGGCTGCAAAACTCGGGGTACGTTTACACAATAAGGATATGCTAAAAATGGAAAAAAGTTTTTCCTTTGCATGTGAAACTGTTCAAAAATGCAGTCAAAAACGCTGTCAAAATGATCCCCATTCACATGGATCCAGGAAAATACTGTATTACTTTGCCAACTACTGGCCTGGCATATGTCATTTTGTAAAGAAATACTACAAAGAAAAGCTTTAAGGTCTCCCTGTGGTTTTTCACTAGAAATTATTTTTGTGGTTTAATGTTTGGAAGCAAAGAAATAAGGCAGCCACATATTAGAATTGTAATCCTAATAATTTAGATATGATCATATTTCTTCTTGTACATAGTTTATATTTTAGAAATAGATACTATTTAGTAAGCACTTAAGCCACTAGATTTTGAACCAACTACAGCTTATTTATTGACTCCGCAGCATTTTTAAGGTGGGATAAGGCTTTTGTACCAAGGTTGGAATTGTGATAATCAAAGGACGAACAAAACACAACACCCAATTTCTTATCTGTAAAAGATCGGCATAATTAGCATGTTATGTTAAGATATTTTTGGTTCAATTAATGCTTCTGTTTTAGCAGAGTTTAACAAGAAAATGACTAGCTACCCCATTTATATCATTAATACACACTACTAATGTATATTTGTGAAGTTTTGTCAGGTTGTGAGGAACTATAGAACCGATTATCATTGGCATAACAGTGAAATCTAACGTTTCTCTGGGAATCTCAGAATCATATAGAAGGAGACAAGTAAAGGACCTAATATTGAGCCCTGTGGTACGCCATACTTTAAGAGAATATTGTGGTCTGTGTTGTTTAAGATCTGATAGCTCTAAAATAGAGAGACAACTTTAATAAGTTATCCATGTTACGGTGGAGTTTAAATCCTGACTAATATTGTTCACAAATACAACAAAATGTAACATTATTTTTAAAAAATATTTTAGACCAGGGATGTCAAACTCAGTTTCTGGAGGGCCACACAGCCCTGCAGCGTTGAGCTCTAAACGGCTCCATCAAACCTACCTTTAGTTTTGAAGTAATCTTTAAGACCTTGATTCAGGTGTGTTGGAGCTAAACTCTGAAGGACTGTGACTATCCAGGATGAATATTAGATTTGGGCCATTGTTGCTTTCTGTGCCACTGTTGCTTTTAAATGGGGAACTTTCAACTTGTGTTTTGTCTCTTTTCGCCCTAGACCTGATGGTGATGAAAGAGGAGAGTGAAGTACTAGACGAAATGCAAGCTAAAGATCAGTATAAGAAACATCATGATTTCATAACTGGACAACAATCATTTAGTTGCTCACAGACTGAAAAGACTTCAAGAAAAAGAGCTCAAAAGATAGGGACTAGAAGTAATTTCACCTGCCAACAGTGTGGTAAGAATTTCAATCAACATGGAAACTTTAAAGTCCACATGAGAGTTCACACTGGAGAGAAACCTTATACATGTCAACAGTGTGGAAAGAGTTTCACTCAAAAAGCAACCCTTAAAAGCCACACGAGTGTTCACACCAGAGAGAAGCCATACACATGCGAACAGTGTGGAAGCAGTTTCACTCAGCAAGGAAGCTTTAATAGGCACATGATACTTCACACCGGAGAGAAGCCTTACACCTGCAAACTGTGTGGGAAAAAATTCACTCAAAAAGTACACCTTAAAGTCCACATGACAAATCACACTGAAGGAAACTCTTTCACCTGCCAACCGTGTGGAAAAGGTTTTAACAGAAAAGAAGACCTTGAAGTCCACATGACGGTTCACACTGAAGGGAGCCCTTTTACCTGCCAACAGTGTGGAAAAAGTTTTAATAAAAAAAGAAACCTTAATGCACACGTGAAAATTCACACTGGAGAAAAGCCTTACTTGTGTCCTGAATGTGGAATAAGCTTCAACCAAAGAGGAAACCTTAACAGGCACATGAAAACTCACACTGGAGAAAACCGTTTTACCTGCAAACAGTGTGGAAAACGTTTTATTCGAAAAGGAAACCTTAATTACCACATGAGAATTCATACCGGAGAGAAGCCTTACACATGCCCTCAATGTGGAAAGAGTTTTACACATAAACAGACTTTTAAAGTCCACATTAGAATTCACACCGGAGAGAAACCTTACGCCTGCGAACTGTGTGGAAAGAGCTTCACTCAAAAAGGACACCTTAAAATCCACATGACAAATCACACTGAAGGAAGCTCTGTCGCCTGCCATCTGTGTGGAAAAAGTTTTAACAGAAAAACAAACCTTAATTCCCATATGAAAATTCACACTGGAGAAAAGTCTTACACGTGCCTTCAATGTGGAAGGAGTTTTATGCATAAACAAACTCTTAAAATCCACATGAGAATTCACACCGGAGAGAAGCCTTTCACATATCGAGACCTGAAATGTAATTTGCAAGCTCATTCTGGAAAGAAACTGCAGAGTTCTGAATGTGCTAAGAGGTTTAGAAAAAGGAGACGTTTTAAAGATCACCTGCACATTCACTCTGGAGAAAGGACATTTCACTGTGGTCAGTGCAATAAAACTTTTCTTTTGCCATCGCATTTACAGATACACCTGAAAAGTCATGCGGATGTGAGACCCTATTTTTGTTCTGTGTGTGGAAAGAGTTTCAAATGGCCCAGCAATTTAAAATGGCACCAGAAAATGCGTATCTGTAAAATTAATGCTGCATTCACACCGCAGCTGAATGCGGGCCAAATCTGAACATTCCTTACTGTGCGTTCACACCGCCGCCGTTGAGAGCCTCAAAAAATCGCTCTGGCCGCCCTGCCAACAACGCTGTAGAAAGATTCGCGGACGCTCTGACGTAAAGCAAACACGCTTGTTGATCTTGTGCAGACTGACCACAAGGAGGGTAACGTTAAGTTAACCTCATTAAATATTGTTGTAGACGAAGTATTAAGATCCTTTACCTCATAATGTTTAAAGCACTAATACCACACTGTAAAAATACTCTGATACAAGTAAAAGTCCTGCATTGAAAATGTTACTTAAGTATAATCAGGTATAAACATTACTTAATGTATATATCAGGGATGGCGAACTCCAGTCCTGGAGAGCCGCAGACCTGCAGAGCTCAGCTCCAACCCTAATAAAATCTCCCCTGCCGGTAGCTTCCTAGTAACCCTTCAGACCTTGATTAGCTTGTTCAGGTGTGTTTGATTAGGGTTGAAACAAAACTCTGCAGGGCTGCGGCTCTCCAGGACCGACGTTCGCCACCCCTGGTATATACAATCAGGAAAATTGTGGTCGGAACCAAAGTTTACAGGACTGCGTTCTCTGGAATCCTCTCAAGCGGTGGACTTCTACGTTCCGATTGGTTGCCGCCAAACCGCGTCATAGCTCATTACCATAAAGTTGACCTGATTTCAACTCTCCTCGACGCCCTCAATGTCCAAGTTGCGCCGCGCCGCTGCTCGACGCAGACTCACATTGAAAATGAATGACTTCCGGCCACTTTGACGCTCTTGACGGCGGCGGTGTGAATGCACGGTTAGTCAAAACATTTGATTCAGATTGGGGAACACAGTGTGTTCTCATTGTTGAATTAGTTTTTCAAAGAATCTTGTGTGTCTTTGGTTAATCACTGTATTGATTGTATAAATTTAAAGATCTTGTAGTGGCAATGTTTTTAACTACTTGATGAAGACAGAAAGGGTTGAAACGGTTTTTTTCTACTATTAAAATAGAGTTTGAGAGTATTGTGACAATGTGCTTTCTTTTTCATAAAGTCCGTTAATTGTCTATGACGGATTTCCGTCAATTGGAAAAAATAAGGGGGAAAGAAACAAGTAGCGCATTGTTGTTGTTCTGCCCTGTGGCACACCAAAAATCATCACCCGCCAGGGCTGCAGCTTCTCGGTGACAAGTCGGGTTATTAGCAGAGAACGTCTCGGTTACGTATGTAACCCTCGTTCCCTGAAGGAGGGAACGGAGACGTCACGTCGGAGGACCGACGAATTGGGATCTCGCTTAGAGGGACCAATCTACTTCTGATGTAAACTAAACGAGCCAATGCACATTGGCATGCGATTATTAAGGAACCTGACGACCAGGTCATGCTTCCCCAACGACCTCCTTGTACGGGGTCGTGGTTAGCAGCGATTGCAGCTACATAAATTTTAAGGGTGGACGGAGACGGCCTTCACTCCAACCCTTGCTGCAAAAAGGACAGCACAACTCCGATCGGAGGCGCACAGGGGAGATGATCATTTGCAACACAAACAGGGGGTAGTGCAGCCTGATGTGTGCAACCCACTCGACACGGGAAACCACCACCGCTGAAGCGCCGTCCGCCAACACGAAGAGCTCTCCAAGAGCGCGCTGAACTCGTTCAGTCTTCTTCTCTCAGTAAAGTAGTCAGGAGCAGAACGATGTGATCGCTCGGCTCCGAAGCGAAAAGCTGAATATGCGCTGCATCTGCTGCCTACTTATACTCACGCTGTGATCAGCAGCAGCTGGATGCAATAATCGCATGCCAATGTGCATTGGCTCGTTTAGTTTACACTCGAAGTAGAGTGGTCCCTCTAAGCGAGATCCCAATTCGTCGGTCCTCCGACGTGACGTCGAGAGTGACCCGACTGAAAGGGAACACAGAGCAGGACTTGAATTTCGGCGCGGGATTGCGGCTATTAATAACAGGTTCCGCGCTTATGACAGATGACGAAACGTATAATTTGCACGTGCTTTTGAGTCTTGAGAACTCACTCGCACGCTCTCATTTTCTGTGCGCCCACAGATCACGATAAGGAGAGTGGCAATTTTTAATAGTTATTAAGGGAGTTTGCAAATGTGATATTGATTCAATACAACAGTTCAATAAACAAGTACTGCCTGATTTTGCTCCATTTTTTCAATGAAAATAGTTCCAAATATAGTAACAGCTCAGCCGCTGCGCATCTCTAAAAGCAAACACAGCAGTGTTTCATTCATTCATGAATGAAAGTGCGTTTTTGAACGAATCTAGTGAGTCAGTGATTCATGATTACCCATTAGTAAAGACTTGTTTCATTCCTGAATGAATCAGCCATTCGAACAAATCAATTAAATGAATGATCAGTGATAAATATTAGTGACTTGCCACTGTAGCGTATCAGCTCATGGGGAAATATTAATAATTAATCATAACTAGTTATAATTAATTATAAATATTTAGATCCGCTGTAGATATTTACTTGACCTCTCAGGGTCAACTGTCTGTCGATTCTAAGAACGTTAATTTCCTGGTTAAGGGAAATAACTTTCTTACTGTACAATTCTACACCGAGCTTGTAGCATAAATCTGCATGATTAAGTGACTCCAGTTATGAGCAAACAATGAACCACGTCAAGTGTGATACAAGTAAGACTTTATTAACTACATAAACACTTAAACTAGTCTAACATACTACATAAACACTTAAACTGGTCTAACATACACACACACACGCATACAGTTGGTATAGGAAAAGGAGTTAAAGTTTAGGCAGTAAAAAGGAGAGAAATAAGGAATGAAGTTATGGAACCATTTGCATATTCAGCAGATTTACAGCCTGAAGGGAACATCAGATTCTTACGTTCACAGACAACTTGGCACCCAGTATGTTTATTGGGTGAGGGGTCTGTGAATGTTTGTTAATCTAATGAATAATTGATTTGTTAAATCAAATGAAAAATGGTGTGTCTGATTGGTCCAGACGCTACACCACTATCTGCTGGTGGATTTAGTTTCATTTTTAGCGTATAATTTCTGTTATTTAAATAATTTTATATTTCTGTATTCAAAATGTTATATTTAAAACGTTAATCTCCACATGAATGTATGAATTTGATTGCACTCATGCCACCTCTGAGCCTCATAAAAGTGGCTTGTTGGTACATTTTCAGACGTTTAGTGTTATTCTGTGCCACCACTGTAGTACAGATAAATTTTTTATTAATACTAATTTCGTATGATTGGTAACTTATTTGTCTTATTCTACTTCTTATTATATTGTTTTAAATAGACATTTTAAAAAGCTTATATACATACATTTTTTAATTTGACAGATGAAAATGATGCCATTACAAAGTAAGTCACTTTAAGGAGTCAAATGTCACCTCGTATTAGGAAGGATCATTTTTGATCAGAATTTTTGATCAGAAGGTGCTCCTAAATTTTTAAAACTAGGAGGACAAGCACTCCTAATTACAAGAAAAACACTGCTCTTAAACTGGGTGTGTGACAGGTATGGTTGTGGAATGGTGTTTGGCTGAGGAAAAATTTTCAGTCCAAAGATTTTTTTTTGCTTTAAGCCTGTATATAGCATTTCAATCGGTTTTCCTTTGTAATTAAAATTTAAGTTCTCTGTAATATCAGGGATGTAAACTAATCAGGCCAGAGTTGAAAAAGGTGACAAAGATGTAACTCACAATTTCAATATCATAGTCACAGACAATAAAATGTATTTTTAATATATGTATTATTACTTCTTCATTACACGTACTGTAATGTTGCACGGTGCTGGGGGGGGGGTGTTTTTATTTTTTGTTATTTGCCTCATAATAGTATATACAATATTATATTTTGTATATTTTCATATAAAATGGCAACATTTTCACTCCCTATAAGTTCTATACATGCTTTGCTTTTAGATGTATAATCAATATACCTCGTTAAATCACTAATATAACATTTAAAAATTACTTCTGTGAAAAATTTGTAATATTTAGATTTATTTTATTGCATTATTATTATTGACATTTATATAAAAGTCATATAGGTCTATTCTAAACATAAAAAATTGACATCATGTGAAAAAAGTGCTGCTAAATTTAGTTTTTCTTATTTTTGTCAGTTTTGATGTTGCAAGTCTATTAGCCTGCATTTACAATAAACCAATGTGAATCATCGCCATTTAAAAAGTGACTCACAGAACGTTTTATCGGATTGACTACCTGATTTACCCAATTACAGGAGTCACTGTTTTCCTAATTTTGAAAGGATTGTACAGTGTGTGCATTATAGTCGATTATCAGTCAATATTCTAATCATACTTTTTCCCCCAAGCACATCTGACCAATTCCAAATCACAATGCAAAAGAGCGTTTAAAAGCTGTTGATTTCAGACGGTACCTAAAATGAGTCAATACTACTTTTACTACTTATTACGCACACTTCAAAAACTAAATTGAATCTACACGAATCACGCAAATGATCTATTTTGGATTTTAAATGACAATTTTCACTTTAAAGGTGATAGGTTCACATCCCTGAATATTCCGTTTTTTATGTCCCTTTGTCATATTTGCATACAGAATGTAGTATTATTGTAGCAAAACTGAGCATCTGTGGGATCGGTAGAGAATATTTCAGTGAAGTCATCAAGAAAATGTTTTAGGAGTTACAAACTTGTATTTTGTCTCTTTCTCTCACAACACAACAGTTCCATCTCAGAATCTTCATTGCAGGTGCACAAATCACAAATTAAGAAATTTAGATGCTCAAATTTTCATAGAGATCAGTACAATTTTGACTCATTATGCACATTCCTTTGTGTATGATTCTGTGAATCATCTACACTGTTTGGCTATTCTCATGTGGTAGTATTAAAAAATTAATTCTAGTCCATTTGGCCCACATATTCCCATGTGAATGATTTGGGGGTCTAAATAAAGCCTTGAAACTGAAAAAATAAATAAAAATAAAACATGATTGAATCTCAAATGCTCATTTGTAAGTCGCTTTGGATAAAAGCATCTGCTAAATGCCTAAATGTAAATGCAATAACAATATTAATATACTATTATATTAATGCAATTGCCAGTAAAGTTTTAATGGAGGTGGCGAGACGAGAGACGTGTGGATCCATTTGCAGGCTTTTATTAAACAGAGACGTGGTCATAAGAGGCATGGGTCAAACAGTGGCAAACAGGTACATTTCAGGCAAGACAAAGAGTATTCCTAGGGCAAGCGTGGGTCTACGATCGGCGAACAATATCCAGAGGACTTGACACGAGGGGTTATCCAATA